AGAGGGACAGAGACGTCATGCAAACCACGGCAACATGAGGGGGAATTGGTTAAGGAAAGGAAACGGGATGTTTTGATAAATTTCATTTTCTCCCAAGGAATCAGTTGCAGGTTTGTGTCAGGGAAACATTTCACAGCAATTTGAAAACTTTGCAAACAGCTAGCTGGTCTCTAGATGGGTGATCTAGTAGGTGAAATCCTCTTCATTGTCTTGAGAACCTTTCATTAGGACAATTTATTACTTGGAGCAGGCTTTTCCCTAACCAGGGAAACAATCAAATTATTGTCTTCATTTTGTCCATGTCTATTTCGGTAATAGAAGTCTTGTCAAACAACTCAGTGATTTCTGAAGCCTTATCACTCACCACAGATTAATGGGCATGGGAATTAACAAAGTAAATAGGAAGGGAAGTGTTGATCAGAGTGAGAGCATGCTGATGCCTTCAAATGCCCTGCTGGCAATGACAGGGGCTGTGTAAGCTATAGCTGGAAAGGCCCAGATCTTCACTTATGAGTCAGTGCAAATCAGATCCCACTTTATAGCATACTTTCGAGAAAAGTTGCCAGGAATTCCTGAGTGTAACAGAGGATCTTCCTGTAATACAAACCATTCCAAATTTGGGGAAACATAATGGGAGCCTTTAGACGAGCTGCCAAAATCAAGTTTTTGTTTGAGTCAAGAGTAGTGCACTTGGCTCTTTAGTGAGGAGGCTGACTAAATGAGGAAGAAAATCTGTACCCTAAATAGACACATTTACGAGAAGGCAATTGATCTTGTAGTTCAGGTCCTCTCTGGCCTGGGTGGATTTCTCACCCTGCTCTAGAGCAGAGCATGGAATGCCTGGGGCCCGAGGTCTCATCACCAACTGGTGAAATGCATCGCTTCTTGGAGTAAAAAGGATTCATCTTCACACTACTGCTGCATATGCTAGACTTGGGGTGGGGTGGGGGAAGAAAATACCCCAATTCAAAATTATCCCAATAAAATCCGGGTCTTTTTTTCTGGGCATTGGTAGTTCTGAAAGTAGCCCAAAGGATTCCACTGTCCAGCTAATGGACAGTGGTGCCAAGTAGAGAAGGGATGGTTGCCCTTGGTGACCATCATCTGCAGGAACCTGAAAGACTACAGAGGCTAACACATCACTAAGAAAACTGAAGCAGACAGTGCTAAGAAGAGCATAGAGCACATCGCTGTAGCTCCAGGCCCTGTAGCACCAGCATTGGCCAGGAACTGGTTAGCCTCCCACTCACAATCCCCAACCCACATCCATAGAACCATGACATCTAGGAGCAGACCGAGCCCTCTGTATTTTTGTAAGTTTCCTGTTAGTTTTGAAGTGTGCTGAAATTAGAGACTGCTAATAGAGTGAATAACACCTGGACTTTAAGACAAGACTGCTTGGGCTCAATTCTCACTCCCTTTCTTACAGAATGACACAGACAAATTAACTTTCTTATGCTTCAACCTTCCCTTCTGCCAATGGAGACAATAGTTATGGTCTTTCAGAGGATTTTTTTAAAATGGGGTAAGTAATATTTGGCCAGGGCCTGGTGTATGACAAACACTATGTAGTACATGTTAGCCAGCCTTCATAAATATTATTCTAAAGAAATGTGACTTTATAATGATATTCAGTAAACATTGTCACTGACCAAAATCTTGGGGTAGGCTCTCTTCTGTGATTTCCTGGCTGATATGACATCTTTCTGACCCAATGGACCACCATCCCTGCAGGGAGGAATTTTCACCTGAAAGATCAGCTTTCCTGAAGGCAAATTTGTAGAAAGATGTTCTTCCATGAGGAGATGTGTTAAATCTTGAGATAATCTTTTGTTTTTGTTTTTTTCTTTCAAGAGAGGGTTTCTCTGTGTAGCTCTGACTGTCCTGAAACTCACTCTGTACACCAGGCTTTCTCAAACTCAGAAATTGTCAGCCGCTGCCTCCCGAGTGCTAGAACTAAAGGCTATTCCACCACCACCAAGCATTCTCAAGGTGATCTTACAGTGTGTGTGGCTGTCTCCAATTTGCCTCCTATATGTAAATTCTTTTTAAATGAGATGGAAGAGGTGGCAAAGTCATGTAATGAGAAAATCAGGACATCTTTCAGAGCAGGCGAAGAGAAATGACCTCTGCGGCAGTGAATGGCACAGAATGTGTTGATGTTTCTGGTGAAATAATAGCATTCCCAAGCATTTCTTTGAAGAAGGGAAGACCTGAAATGAAACAGAACTTTTTGGGGGCCCCCCAGGGAAGCATAACACCCCAAAAGCATTCCGGAAGTCATTCTTCTAAGGAAAGTGTGCTTGGTAATGGTGACATCTGTGGACTCAAGAAACATTCTTTGAGAAGACAAAAACATGGGACTGACTGCTCCTGCCAGCCTTCCTTCGAGCTGCTGAAAGAGTGATTCATTATGACACACCCATACCTCACAAACCGGATTCCTCCCAAAGCTGATTTGTCACCCGTTTGTGAGTCTTAGTGTGTTTCCCCTAAGCAATGATCTCTGCATGACACATAACATTGCTTGTCTCCATGTCACATATGAGTGACTAGACATCCTGATTCATTCTTCAACTTCTGGATTTCTTTTAAACAAAAACTGCTCTTCTTTAAGGGGAAGGATCCTATTTTATATCTATTTTGTGTCCTTCGTGGTTCTTAACAAAGAATTCTCAAATAATTGGTTGTTTTTTCTGATGTTTTGCTTTTTTATATTGGTTGCCTAGAAACACAGACTTAAATATGTGAGTTAAATTACAGAGCATCTTTTTTTTTTTTTTTTTTTTACCAATTCAATTAAATCTCCATATCTTTCAGGTAGTTTCAGTTGTCTGTCTTTTCTTTACTTAAATTTTTGAAAGTACAGAATATTGACAGGCACTGGTGGTAAATGTCTTTAATCCCAGCACTCGGGAGGCAGAGGCAGGCAGATCTCTATGAGTCGAGAATAGCCTCGTCTACAGAGCGAGTGCCAGGATAGACTCCAAAGTGACACAAAGAAATCCTGTCTCAAAAAAAAGGTACAGAATATCAATTTATTAAAGGAAAAATATTTATTCTTTCCAGGTCAGTTAAAAATCCTCCTTTTGTTTCAAACTATTTTAATATCTTCTGTTCCTAAAGTTCTGTATGGTTTAAAGAAGTGCATGTTCTGGAAGATGTGTATATATACATGTATGTGAGTATGCTTCAGAGCAGTCTTTATACTATGTATATGGCACACAACAGTTGTTCTCAACTTTACAATGCTGACACACTTTAACACAGTTCCTCATGCTGTGGTGACCCCAGCCATCAAATTATTTTGTTGCAATTTCATAACTGTAATTTTGCTACTGTTATGAATTTTCATGTACATATTTGATATGTATGATATCTGATATTTGACCCCCAAAGGAGTCAAGACCCACATGTTGAGAACCTCTCTTATAGAGTATAATATAGCATGCATGTGTAATTTGCATATGAAACAAATGTAGTCATATATACAGTATTATATATAACATGTAAGCACATATTTATATGTATAAATATATTTTATATGTATAACATATAAACATGTATTTCATATATAAGTACAGCACATATTTAGACATATAAATATATGCCTACATATGTATGTATATGTAACTACAAGTTGCTTGTGTGTGTGTTTATTTTAGGGAGATTGCTTCTGACTTTCACTAGTTTCTCCAAAGAATTTTTGACTCATCTCTTGCCCTGCATAAAACCAAAGTCATAAGTGACTGATTGGAAGCCACCTATGAATAATTATCCAATGACATGAGCTGTGAAGTGTGTGTGTATGTGTGAGTATGAGTTTGTGTGTAAAATCTTCAATTTATTGAAAAAAAAACCCTAAAAATCCAAAACCAGTAATGTACAACATACCAATGTGAGTATGCACACATACCAAATGTATAAATCAAAAAAATCACATTGCCCATCTTAACTATATGTGATAAAATTAAAACAAAGCTAATTTTTAGAAAGAGAATCTATAGCAAGTCTAGTCATCAGTCAGTGGCTGACAGCATTGAGTTCACTGCAGCAAACACACCAAGGCCCGTACTTTTGTAAGCTGCTCTTAGCCTGTAATTGAGTGTGGGGTAGGTGACATGGATGAGGAGCCACTGGGGCTGTCCCTGCCCAGTGGAGGATTTCTCTCCACAACAGATGTCCTTGATCTTGCCACCAGCTTGGTGAAGACTCCTGAGCGGCCCCTGCAGCCTACAGATGTCTCTGCCTGATTCTTCTTCTTACCACTTTTCTTCTGCCAGGTGATACCCAAGCTTCTTCCCCCCTGCCGCTGCCTTTTCATCCTTCAGAAGCATCATTCTCTGGGAAACAGCTACAATTCTTATTATTCTTAGTGCCTGCCACACGGAAGACCTAAATTGTGGCTGTGGCCATGGACAGGTGCAGACATTCAGGGCCTCTTCTTGGCCCTGTTTAACATCTCCACATGCTACCTCTTTCTGCTAGCTTGGGTGTTCCCTCTTAAGCAGCAGCTGTGCCCTTTAGGAGTGTTTGCCTTTCCCAGTCACGTGGTCTTTTGCCATTTACTTTCCCAAAAGAAACACCAAGCTTTAGCCGACTGGAAACAGCAAATGTATCTTTAATGAATCAAAGAGCAAATATAAAAAGCCAAAGAGGTGCTGGGTTATTAGGGCAAAGTCTACCCCAATTGGAGATTAGAGGAGTGTACACACACACACACACACACACACACACACACACACACACACACACACACACATTTATTTTCCTTTGTAGGAAGTGACAATAATTCAAATTTAAAAATAAACTTCTCCTAATTTTAGTGAGAAAGAAATAACTTATAGGATGCATCATTTTACCTTTTCAGCTCTCTTGCCTATCCCCCCAAATTACTAGATTGTTCGGCAAGTAATAGGATTAGAGTCACCTGTTTTGTGTTACTTTCTACCTTCATATTATCAGTAGAAGTCAAAGCTGAGGGAAATACACAGGGAACTAACTGTGACAAAAGGGAATAAGCCCCACAATTCTGGATGTTTAATCAAGTAGTTACTATAACTGAGTAATCGTTAACCTCTTTTATGTTTTCCAGGTAATCTGTGCTACTTAGTGATGTCTCATTCTATTTTAATTGCTACAGATGTAAATGGCCTGGGAAGTCACAAAAGACAGTGACTAAAACGTGAACAGCTGGTTGTCACCAAGTTGCCCATGTGCAGACAAGCAGAAGGGTAAGTCTGAAAATCCATTGTACCAGTGAATTCTAAGGTTAGTAAAATTCTTTTTAAAATTAAATCAGCATGGACTTAGTCCTACTTATTGACTTACTAAGTATATAAGTCCTGTTCCTTTTGAAATGTAAAATATGAAGTATGCCATAGAATGATATTTTTCTACCCCATAGAGGTTTCATTTTCAGGGAGCTGGAAATGCTGAAGCTATCTTTGAACCTACTCTCTCTCTCTCTCTCTCTCTCTCTCTCTCTCTCTCTCTCTCCCTCCCTCTTCCCCACATCTATTTCCACTACTCATTTTCCTTCCCTCTCATTTCTCTTCTCCCATTTTTCAAAGCCTAAAGAACACCCTGAGGCGCAGCATTTGGTTGTGTTGGGTTGTCCAATTAGCGTTCACAGATAAGTGAAGGTTTCTCATCATCTTCCACCTTACCCCTCCCTCAACCAATAAAAACAGGGAAATGGTGTTGAATTTTCTGGACTAAACATCACGACAAATGTATGAAGCTGCCCATCCCTGCCTCCTCCCATCTGTATATGACAACAGCTGACTGGGAGAGGCTTTCATCTTTAATCTAGCCCTCTCACTTTCCCATGGGAAACTGCCAATGAAGCCCAATGTACTTACCCAACTTTTCCTAAGCCCATGCAGCTTACCACATCTGATGTTTAAAAAAAGTCAGTAAAAATGGCCTCTGTGAGTCACTGAGGACAAACAGCATTCCTGAAAGAATAAGCCTCGCTAGCAGAAACACATTAGTGCTTGCTTTGAAAATGCCGTAGGTCCCAGTAGACCTGGATGGAATTTAAGCCTGAATTCTCCACATCTCTAGGATCCTTTCTACTTGCTGTTCAGTCTCCATATATATGACCTGCTCCACCTCCATTTATTATACTGCAATAAACTAGCATCAACATGAGAAATACTTCTAAAGTTTGGTGTGTCCCTTTAAATTATTGTAATAAGACAGAAAGCATATATATATATATATATATATATA